GAACAACAATGATGCAAACATGTGCCTAATAGAATCAGCAGAAGCCCTTTAACTTGCGTCAGTTATTCCATCAGTGTACTCACGATCATCACCCAATAAATATGAGCATAGCAAGAATCATGATATGACAAATATTGGACATCAACTATATTCATATAATCCTCGTGGCAAGTTGCTTCACAAAATACATTGGTCCAGCACCTCAAATAATAATTATCACTAGAACATGTCTGAAACGTACTATACTGCCATTCTTTTTTCTAGATTTCCACTCTCTAGTTTTGGTTTTCCAACAAAATTTAGACGGAGCCTCAACATAAGTAAGTTCTCTTACTGCAGGATACTTGTTGTTAGCCTCCATCCATGCCAAAAATTGACACTCGTTAACAGATGGTTTGTTTAGGGCATCGTCGATATGCTCATCATCATCAAAAAGAATTATTTGCTCACCTTTCAAATGGAAGTTCAAACGTTGTACATGAGGTTTTTTTACACTACTATTCATAACACAGTAACCTCCATGCCATCGTAGTACATGTTAATGGTCAATGGGTTTATCAATTTCTCCTTATGAATGAGTCTAATAAAATGAGGCTGTCACACGACCATTTCCTTCATTGACATATTTGAATAGGTATTTTATGGATCGTGATTGATTGCACGGTTTGCACCACACAATATTAATGTGTGCTCCATATATCATTAACAATCGACGTTTATGAGGCACAACAAATTCATTGTGGATATTAACTCCATTTTTTTCAATAGATCTCCCATTGTCCCGAAATCTATAACATTGATACCCATGCCCATCAACAGTTGTTTCTTCAACAAATTTCTTAAGAAACTGCTAAGTACATTTTCCATCAACCATGCATGATGAGACTATTCTTGTCGAGCCACATGGACTGTTAATCATGTGTTCCTTAGCGGCTTGATAGTACAAAGGATCTAATGGCTCATCAGATATCTCGACACAAATTATCCTGTCTATTTCCGAAGGATCTAGGAACTTTTTATCATTGTCGCAAAATATTAGTATGTGCGCATGTAACAATCCACGCTTATGAAATTCTATTGTACAGATAACTGAAATTTAAAAACATGAGAAGATCAAATAAATTGGGAAACTAATAATAACAGAGAATTTATATTTATAATTACCAAAAGTTATAGAACAATTGATTAAAATATAATGTAAATGTATTACCTGCCGTGACCTTGCAAAATTTGGCTTTTAAAGAGATAATTTATATGATACCCCACATGTGCACCATTACCTGAATTGTGGTAATTATATGATTTATTGAGTATTAAGATAGAAATTCAATATATCTTGCCTTGAGTTAATATTTTTTTTCTTCATATTATAATTAAATAATAATAATTAAAATTAAATGTATATCCCTATTTCTCCTATTTGATTAAATTTGTACAACCTACTAAGTATTTTACTAACTATTAATATTATAAAATACTTGATAATACTCATATGTACTTCGACTTTAATTAATA